GCCGATGGCATCCCGCCGGGAGGGGATGGGGGCCGGGGGCTGGCGAGAGGGGAGGAGGATGCTCTGCGGGGCAGCTTTTTGCAAATTGGCCAAAGATGCGTTATCTGAACTCCAGCTCCTAACTCGGGGGCTCGGCGATGGCTTGTTGCCGGGATGGGGGTGCTGTGCCGGGGATGCGTGCCGGCAGTCCCTGTGTGGGTACCCACGCTTGGGTCAGGATGGAGGGGATGTCTGCATCCCACTGCGCAATGGAGACCCTGCGCCAGCCCCTCTGCGGAAGCCCAACGCCCCCCACACCCACCCAGCTCTCCGGAAAGCAGGCAGGACCCGGCAGACACAGGCACAGCGCTTGGCCCTGCGGAATGACGGAGCACGGATAAAGGACGAGCAATCGCAAGTCACAGCGAGGACCTGGGGGGGGGTTCCAGCCTGGTGACCCCATCGCCCCATGCCCAGACCCCGCTCTGCACCCCTCACCCCAGGTTTTGATTCCCCAAAGCTCGCAGCACCCCAAAATGGGCTTTTCCCCCTCCATTGATGCTTCCCGATCCCGTGAGGGCAGAGCTGGGTTGAGCTCCCCCTCCCCTGCGCCAGCCTGGGTCATCCCAACGGATCCCAGTTCCACCACCAGATCCAGCATCCTCTGGGCTGGAAACGCTCCCGCCATCCCCATCCCACCTCCTCATGCCGACCCCGGTCTCTTCGGCTCAATTCAGCCGCATTTTCTCCAAGGAGGGTTTGATGCTCCACGCCAAGAGCATGTTCATCTCCCCCGGGAATTGTTGTTGCTGTTGTTCTTTTGGCTTATCAGGCTGACCAAGCCTTGCCTTAAAAATATGTGTTTGTTTGCTTTCGGCTTTGGGAGCAACAATCGCAAGATCTCCAGTGGGGAAGACGGCCTCTCCGAAACACGGCTGGCCAGGCTTCCTCCAGCGCTGCGAGACAGAGCAAACTTTATTTGCCATCCCAGGCTTCTCCTAAAGCCTCTCGGGGGACTTATAATTTTGAAAGTGAAGGTTAAGGTTATTCATGCATACTTTTTTCCTAAATGGATTACTCCGGTGCGACCGTCTGCAAAGGAAAAATCTATATAAAAATAAAAGAAAAAAAAATAAAAACTCCTGAGCAGTTTGGAGACAGCAATACATCTCCGCACTGGAAGACTCGAGGTGTCTGAATATTTATACTCCTGTTGGCAGTTACAAAAAAACTCTTCTTCCCTCCTTCCTAACCCCCCCTCCCCTTTTTAATCTCAGTACAGGCATGTTAGACGCCCTCAGTCAAAGATCTCCTTTGAACTGCTGTATGTTGAAATGTTTACAGTTTTACATTTCATATTTCAGAGGGGTGGAGGGGACAGGCACAACAGTCGCACACTGTGAATGCATGAGAGGGAGGAAAGTGGAGGCCAAGGGGGAGGAGGTGAGGAGGAGATGGGAGGAGAATCAAACAGCATCTCCACACTGCAATTGGAAAATTTTAGACTCCTTAGAAAAAAATTATAAAAAAATAATCTCTGGCGGCGCAGACTCCGCAGGTGCATCCACACCGAACCCAGCCCCTCGCGCGGGATCGT